ATATGTGCAAGCACATGACAAAAACAAAAAACAAAAACTCAAAAACTGAAAATTGAAATAATGAATCGAAAAAAAATTTCAATGTGATTGTTACGAATGGGTTTCATTTGGTAGTCTCTTCGTTTTATGGTAGACAGCTCATTTTTCTAGGAACTCTACTGCATACGCACGCACACACACACACACACACACACACACAACAAACACACATGTTAAAATATTAGATCTCTAATATCATTCATAAATCCAATTAAATACATGAATAATATTCTTTGCATTCGTATAACCACGCATATAGGGAAACATGCATAAAAACAAACAAACATACAATCAAAGGCATGTACAAACATCCACACACAGGCACACACACACACACACACATAGGGACACGTACAAACAAATAACATACATACATACAAACATACAATCAAAGGCATGTACAAACATCCACACACAGGCACACACATAGGGATACGTACAAACAAATAACATACATACATACAAACATACAATCAAAAGTATGTACAAACATCCACATATAAACAAACAAACGTAGAATCAATAGTATGTATAAACATCTACACACACGCACACATAAGGACACATACAAAGAAAAAAACAAACAAACATACATACATACAATCAAAGGTATGTATAAACATCCACAAATATTTTCTCAACGACCGCTGCAAACAGATCTGCACATAATGAGAGATAAAAGTTAATTGTGTGACATCTCTTCTAACCACTAATTTGATCATCCCTGCATTATGACAATTTTTTTGGATCAATACAAACGCTTTATACTGATTTTGAACAATTAACTTTTTAAATAGCATTCAATTTTTGAAGAATGCAATATTTTGAAACATTTCCATTCGGAAAAATCAATAAATTCAAGTCACACACGCATACACACACATGCACACATACACGCACGCACACACATACACGCACACATACACGCACGCACACACCAACGCACGCACACACAGGCAGACACAAATTTTACAGTCGTATTTCTGTTTGGAGCAGCTTCGTTTCATAACAATTAAATATATAAAAAAAATGAATACAGAGATCTATGAAAAATAAAATAGAAAAGTTCTAGAACAAAGTACTACAAAAATATTAAGCGGTCATACAAACGAATGAACATGCGAACGAACAAACCAACGAATGAACAAACGAACGAATGAACAAACAAACACACACGCGCGCACGAACAAACAAACAAACATGAAACATACAAACGAACAAACAAACAAAAAGAAACGAACCGAAAAAAAGAAACGCAGACAGAAGTAACTGAAAAAGAAAATAATTTCCACAGAAATGGATGATGATGACACGAGCAAGTGAGCACATAATTGAGAATGGGAATAATTTTGCAGTTTAATAAATCTCTACCCTTTATAACTAGGCAGCTCTGTATATTTCATCCAGTTAAACTGAACCATGTAGTGTATGTATAGACAAATACTGCACGTTTATACAGTCCTGCGTATATGTATATGTATATGTGTGTGTAAGTGTGTATGTGTAATGTATTGTATATGTGTGTATGTATTTGTGCGAACTGTATTGTATGCATGTATGTATGTGTATGTATATATATATATGTTGTATGCATGTATGTATGTGTATATATATATATATATATATATATATGTGTGTGTGTGTGTGTGTGTGTGTGTGTGTGTGTGTGTGTGTGTGTGTGTAAGTGTGTTTGTCAATATGTATTTTGTATGTGACAATGGCCGGTGTATCTATATAATGTGCGTTCTTAAAAAAGAAATTGTATCTATACATAATTGAAAAAAGTATTAATACAAATAACAAAAAAACTTGTAAATCAACATTCAAACAAGAATGTTGATTAACAAAACAAGCAAGCATACACTCACTCAAACACACATACACACACACACACACTCAAACACAGATACACACACACGCATACACAGACCCAAATGTAAACATACACACAAAAACCATTACATAAACATAAAGCCCTAGACTTCACTCCACGCATCCGTACACATAATTAAACATAAGTGTATAAATCAAAAACCTACAATGAATATCTAAAAAGAAGAAATAATATTAATAATACATTACAACTCATTGTGAAACGTCTATACACACACACACCACACAAACACACACACACACATACATATATATACACACACACACATATACAAACATAAATATACCCACATATACAAACACACACACAGATATATATATATATATATATATATATATATATATATATATATATATACACTTACATATACACATACACACATACATATACACACATACATATACTCACATACACACATAATACATATAAACACATACATATAAACACAAATACATAAACACACATACATATACACACGCTTATTTTTTATACACACACGCTTCACGTGTATAAATGTGTGTGTACACATATACACAAAAGTAGGTTTAACTTTGTTTTGTGTTGCGTTATATCTGTATAAACATACAAACAAATATAAAATAGTACTAACACCTAAACAATCCAGGCACGACACACACCACACACACACACACACACACACACACAGAGAAAGAGAGAGAGAAAGACAGACAGAGAGAGAGAGAGAGACACATGCACACGCACACACACACGCAGTACTGGACACAAACACACACGTGTGAATGGATCTTATAATTATATAAATGATGACCTAGTGTCACATTGCTAATGTTCATCCATTTGTCATTCAACTCATACTTAAATCTATGCGCGTGCATATATGTATGTATTTATGTATGGATGTATGTGTGTATGTGTCTACCTACAAATTAATAAATATCTGAAAAAAAACTGAAAATGTATGGATGTATGTGTTATGTGTCTACCTACAAATGAATAAATATCTGAAAAAAATAAATATAAAAATATCTGTTTGTGTGTGTGTGTCAGCCGTGTGTGTGTGTGTGTGCGTGTGACTTTTTCTTTAGATTATATATATGTATCTATAAAATTATTTGTTGATATTTTTATTTGTTCATTTGTATGAATAAAAGAAAACAAAAGAGTAGCTGCATTGTTTGGCAGTTATAAATAGCTGGGGAGATACATCTCAATGGAAGTAATTATATCAATGGAAGCGTCAATTGCACGGTTGATTGAAACTATTTGGTTCCATTTATTTTTTATGAAAATAAAAATACATTTATATCCCATTCATGTATGTATGTATGTATGTGTGCGTGTGTGTGTGTGTGTGTGTGTGTGTATGCGTGTGAGTAAGTGTGTGTGTGTTTACGTGGTTTTTGTGTGTGTATGCACAAAAATGCACATAATATTTTTCTATAATTTTTGTCTATTCAACGATTCATGTATCTACCCTTGTTGAAATTATAAATTCTTCGTGAAATTATTAATATGCGTCAAATGCAAAGCTGTCATCTATCGTATGTTATCCAATACTCTTAAAGGAAACTTTGAATTTTCGAGCCACATCACACCATCCATTCAGAAACATCAACAACAACAATAACGACGACGACAACAACAACAACAACAACAAAAACACAACAACAGTGATACACACAGTCAGCCATTTGCACGCGTCAAGCAAAATATTTTTGTTGTGCTTCTGAAACCATTCCCTGCTTACAACTGCAACATCAGACGTTTCTTTCTGTCACTATCACACCTCACCACCTTTCTCTCTTTCTCTCTCTCTCTCTCTCTCTCTCTTTCTCTCTCTCTCTCTTTTTCATTTTTTTTTTCATATATACACATATCAAATACGTTATTCAGGAATTTTATATATGGGAATGAAAGAAGGAGATAGTCTGTTAATTTGTGTCTTTAATACCTTAGAGACAAATGGACCTCAGTGGTGAATAATATGATGACCTTTCATCAGTTAGTAGCTTTGTGTGGTGAGTGTGGCCTGTGTGGTGTGGTGTGTGTGGTGTGGTGAATGTGGCCTGTGTGGTGTGGTGTGTGTGGTGTGGTGAATGTGGCCTGTGTGGTGTGGTGTGTGTGGTGTGGTGGTGAGCGTCAGTTGTGAGCTGCTGTGTGGGTGGAGATGGGCGCTCTTGCATATTAATGAATATTATTTTTCAATTAATTTAATAATAACAGCAACAACATTAATCATAAAAATAATAACAAAAACAATAAAAATAATCTAATAATAATATAATAATAATATTTTAATTAATAATAAAAATAATAATTTATATCACCGGACGTACCAAACAAATAGACTGTACGTGACAAGCACACACACACACATACACACACACATACAAGGCGTACATTTACTTACACACATACACACACACGCACACACACACACGCACACACACACACACACGCACATACATATACAATGCGTACTTCAAAATGTTTAATCATGCAATTCGGATTTACCTCTTAATATTATTCATTTTATTCCTCGTTGCCTTCTTATATAATTATTCATCGAACTTTAATAACTTTGTCTCATTATTTTTCTTTAGGTTTTCGGCATGGGACTTTGTTTAAGTTGCCAGTTACTAAATTATTATCATAATTGTTTTGAATGTTTTAGATTTTTGTTTGTGGCAACACGTCGGCCTATACTTATTCTCATTATTATTCGTATTTCGTCTCTGTAGACAACTTAACTGCTTATTTTCACGGCAATTGTATTGTGTTAAATAAATCAGCGAAATTTGTCATTGTTAAAACTATCGATTGTAGCTGGAATGATGCCACAAAATTATTATTAGGGAATTCGAAAGTTCAAAAAACCCATCATCATCACTCACTCACTCACTCACTCACTCACTCACTCACTCACTCACTCACTCACTCACTCACTCACTCACTCATTCACTCATTCATTCATTCATTCATTCATTCATTCATTCATTCAGTCAGTCAGTCAGTCAGTCTGGTAGTCATTCATTCATCCATCCATCCATTCTATCATCCGTTCATTCACTCATTCCTCATCTACTCAGTCATTCCACCCACCCATATTCACGGTGGAAATCATCAGCAAGTGCACCAGGGAGGCTCCGTACCCGTGCCCCATCAAAGTCACCATGTTGCGGTCGCCCCTGAAGTTCCGGATGTTGTGGTGCAGCCAGAGGAGGGCTGCCGTCAGGTCGTGAAGGGCCAAGTTGCCGGGCGAGTGACTGTCCATCGTGCTAAAAAACCCTGAGTGGCAAATTTAGTCATTCATTTTTATTTATTTATTTGTTTGTTTGTCTCTTTATATGTTTGTTGGTTTGTCTGTTTGTTTGTTTGTTTATTTGTTCACTAGTTTGTTTGTTTGTTTATATTCTTTACGATACAGCTCTGTCAAAGGCAAAGCTGCTTACATGTTACTCGATACGTATAATAAAACCTTCCGTGCCACAAAGGCTGTGCGTGCATACACCGTGCACACCACACACGCACAAACACTGCATCCTACTCTCATAATGGAAGGTCTTTTGAGTTTCGGACAGAGAGCTTTCGAACCATGCCATCGCGTAATTACAGTGCGAGACACGGCGCTTCTACCGACTGAGCTAACTCGGTGACCAAATTTTTATTATTTCTACGATGATGACGGTGAAGGTGCTGATGATAATAGTAATAACAGGGATAATGATGATGATGCAGGTGATGACGACCGTAAATTATTTACGACGGTATTAATGAGATTTGCATTAAAATGGACGTATTGATGCTGTTCTTCTCGATTGTGATTAATGTTTTTTTAACTTACTTTTTTGTTAGAACGATCAACCGGACAACACCCATTCCAGATAGCCCTAAACGCTGATTGGTAACAAATTTAATAGGGTTATGTACACAGAATTATTTCTTAAAGAAATCAGTGTCTACTTCTTATCGGAGATGACTTTAAACGAGCTAACGATTTAGCTGATGTATGAAATTTATCACAGAGTATACTGACTAAATGAGTGAATTGAATTCAAATTGCGTGGAAATGACTGGATTGTGGGCGGGGAGGATAAATTTCCAACTCCGGTCCCTTAAAAACTCCAAATCTTAATTCCAACTACGGGAAAAAATTTCGATTCCGACCGACTTCGACAGTCTGGAAATAACGATGTAATTTAAATGTAAATTGCATTCAATTTACATGTAAATACCAATTAAACTAAGTGTTAATTACATTTAAATTACGTGCAAACTTTAGGAAAATTCTTATCGGCATGAAATGTTTTAATTTTTGTGCCTGATATCGCTTGATTAAATTTGATTTGTGATTACAAATGGATTTTTTAAATTTGTCATGAATTTAAAATTTTAAAAACAACAACTACTACTATAACAAACACAACAACAACAACACCAACAACCACAACAACAACAACCACGACAACAACAACAGTTTCAACTCGTAATACAACGTTCTTTAATAGCACTAATGTAGTTAGTAACATCGACAACACCATCGTCACCGTCAACAAAACCAGCATCTGCAACTCCATCATCATCATCATCATCATCATCATCATCATCATCATCATCATCATCATCATCATCATCATAATTAACAACATAACCATCATCATCTCCATCATCCCCCTCATCATCACCATCCTCATTATCATCATCCTCACCATTTTCATCATCACCATTTTCATTATCATCATCACCACCACCATCATCATCCTCACCATCATCATCTCCATCAGCATCATCATTATCATCATCATCCTCGCCATTATTATCATCACCATCCTCATTATCATCATCATCACCATCATCAACAGCAACCACATCACTATATTTGATGGCTCACCTTTCAATAACATTAGCAAAGTTCAGCAATTAAAAATGGACCAACTGTAGTATCAGTAGTAGTAGTAGTAGCAGCAGCAGCAGTAGTAGTAGTAGTGGTTACAGTAGTAGTAGTTGTTGTAGTAAAAGTAGTAGCATCAACAACATCAGTAGTAGTAGTAGTAGGAAAAATAGTAGTAGTAGCAAGTAGTAGCAGCAGTAGTAGAAGTAGTAGCAAGTAGTAGCAAGTAGTAGTAGTAGTAGCAAGTAATAGTAGTAGTAGCAAGTAGTGGTACTACTAGTAGTAGTAGCAGTCGTAGTAGGAGCAGTAATAGTAGTAGTACCACCAGGCAATAAAGAGTCCCATGTTTATTCCTTTTATTGACGTTCTGCGGAGTAAATAAAATCTCCCAAGTACTTAATTGAAAGTTCTACGCTCATTAAGTAGGTGGGCGAGGGCGAAGCCGGGAAAGAAAGAGATGAGAATGTAAATGAGAACATTTACTTTGATGACGTCATAATATTAAATCGCATAATAAAAACCTAATAGAAACGTTAATAATGAGTTAAAACAACTAAGTTTCAACAATTCAAAAGAAAAATATTAAACTATTAGACTTAATAACAAATGAATGGCATAGTGGCGTGATGGTTAGAGGTGTAGGGTTCCGTTTCGCAGTGACCTGTTTCAACTGCAAAAGGATCTCAGTTTATCAAATTCAATGTCTGTGATGTGTAGTCTACCGGAGTATTCACGCGCGATGTGTGTCTATGGGCTGTGTCTTTGTGCGTCTGTCTGTGTGTGTGTCTGTCTGTCTGTGTATGTGTCGTGAAGTGCAGTAAAATAGATTGACCTTTAACCTTCTTTCTTAACATAATATAGGGATGGAAATCGAACGAGTGAACCGCACACACCCAAAAAAACCTGCCCATCCCTGCCCATCTCTCCAACGTATTATAAATTTAATAACTTACGAGGTTTGATGACAGAAACACACATGCATTATTTTATTACACGCAGATGCATTGACACACACTCAAACGCAATTCAAGAAATTCATTTTGAAAAGACAGAGAGAGGTGACAGTGTCAGCGAAACTGAGACTGCAGATCTACAACAGACACCATTCGGAAAATTGTATAAATAAACATTCAACGTAATATTATATTTAAGAATGAATGTAGTGAATGGGCCAAACTGGACTGCCAAAATGCTGCAATTGATTGTGTTACGCCGGCTGTTGTTGAAGCTGAGAGGAAGGTGGGATGGTGAGGCAGCAGCAAATCCCATCCTGGAAGAATGATCAGTAGGTTAGGAAGAAAAAAAACTACGCTGAAGAAGATGAGATGAAGATGACGACTTTCAACTAACGGTAGAAATCTGTAATCAGATTATCTGACTGAAATAAAAAAAAGCACTGTTAGCTGTTTTATTTCCCTGTCTAAAATGTTTTTGTATTTAATTTATAGACAATCTATTTTCTTCACATTGTTTGACATTTTTTATTATTACGTTTAATTAATTTTTTATCGTGTAAAATTGTTTAAAACTATGCGTTAATGAAGCTTTATTAAGCATTTGAGCACAAGTTTTTGTTTGGTTAAGTGTCCAATGCTAGGTATAAAATTTTTTGAACCTTTTTACTTTGTAATATAATTCGTAACATGAAACTTTTGTCGTAAACTTTCGTTAACATAATTTTTTTAAACATCACTCGACCTAGTTTTGTTAATTCGATTCTCGCACCCAACTTCATCTAATTTTTTTATTTCATCCACTTTTTTGCTATTTCAACAAAGAAATAGTTTAACAAAGTTATCGTTAGAAAAATGTTTTTGATGAGATTTAATTCGTAACATGACGCCTCTTTAAAAATAATAAGTAAATTATCATGTTATGTGAGCCACATCCATTCTTATCATGATATTATTATTGTTATTATTATTGTTATTATAATTATTATTGTTATTATTGTTATTATTATCACCACTATATGCCTTCACTCTTCTTTATTAAATTATTAAGAACTTATATGACAGATGGTCCTTGGGAGTTTTAATTTCATTTTCTTTCCGTGTCATTTAACTTTTCGCTGGTAGCATGTATAACGCTGGGATGAAGTTTCTTACGTGAATTCTAACAACGTATGCGTCAACATTTTTTCTCAGAATCTCACGTCTGGTAGCATGTTTCTAAGGGGATGAACTCCACCATAGAAGAAATATCAACTCGCATGTATATGCATGCAGTTAATTAATTAATTTAATTTAATTTTTGTTTTATATAATGTTTATTGTACGCCAAGCAATGCATGCACGCACGTGTATGTGTACAAAACGTACATACAAGCAACACACTTCAGAATTGAATGTTTTAAAGTAATCTGTTATCTTTCCAACATTTCATCCATCTAAATTCAACAATAAATATGGTAACTTTATAATTTTACACATAACACACAGGGATTACGTAAAATTTAAACTTGCACACCTTCAAGCTGAATCACAATTTCTAGTTTTTCTCTATGGTCACATGACTGCCAGACAGCCAGGCGGATACACAATAGTACGAACGTGTACACTGTGAAGGTACACTCTTATAGTTTTATAAATAGGTTTCCTTTTTATTCTGTATATACTGTTCTATCATTTTGAATGTTACTAAAAGTGTAGAAATGAAGAGGTGGAAATGTTTGAGGAGTGTTTAAACTTCCTGCAAACAAACACGTGTCGCACTTGAAATCTTAATATTTATAAAGTGCCCTGTGGCATTTTGCTCATAATATGAGCCACTTTTTTCCTTTCCGTGGCGTGAGTGTGTCATGAATGGTTAAATGACATCTCGTGGCGAATGCAACTCTCACACACGCTGAACTGTTTGCTTATAAATGATTCTGTAAATTTAGTTGAACGTCGTGTCTCAAATGGCTGTAGCATTCACACTGCACGACGATCGTACGAATTTTGTATGCACGCGCCTCATCTTACACGCACAATAGTCTTTGAGGACTTTGAAGACTTTGAGGACTGCCATCGAACCAGGTAACCACGCAATTACAACGCAAAACATGGCACTTCTACTACTGACTGAGCTAACTCGCCAATAATTTTCATGATTTATTTACCCTATTAAACTATCAAACATTTACGATTTAGTAACGAAGATTATTTTGATTGTCAGTTTAGTTACTGAGTTGTGTGTGATTGTATAGTTAAGCAATAAAATTGTTTAAAAGTGCTTGCAGTTTGTATGGTCGGCAGGTTTCTGTCTAAGGAGCATTAGCAAATTATATCATTCGTTTGGTTTTTTTCTTCGTCACATTATAACACTTTTTACCGTATACTGATCTTTTTTTATGTCCCCAAAAGTTTTAGTTTTTACGTTTTCACACACACACACACACACACACACACACACA